AGGATTTGAGGCCTGGCGGCCTTGAAAGTGGATTGTTGGGGCTTTATCAGGTTGTAGCTCGGCAAACTACGCTGGGAAAAATTGGTTTTGGCTAGCTTTCCTTTGCATGTTGGCAAATTTGCATGTGCTAGCCAAGCTGAGGAAAACACCCAGCACTTTGTGTCGCGGACCTCAAGCAATAGTTTTCCCTCCCTGGCAAAAATCCATTGTGCTTGCTGAGCTGGCTCTTGATCTTTGCACGAACGACCAAACTTATTGCTGGTGAACAAACTACACGAACAAAAATTGTGTGAACCACAAAAGACCCACTGCAATCGCTCCAGTTCCACTAGCCAGAGCCTTCTCGCGCGCAGGTGGACACGTGGCTTCAGCTTTGGTCGCCCCTGGCTGGCCAGCGTGTTGGCTGGCTGGGGGCGTTAGGGCACAACGACGTCACCATAATTTCGTAATTTCGACGACGTCACTAAATTCAGTTTTTGAATTTAACGAAATTAACCGACGACCCAGGAATTATTTTATATTGCCCAGATGTATGCATCACCAACACACCTGACCTCCGACATCGCCCCCCCCCCCCACTGCGCCACTGGGGACTGCCGCACCGTCCGAGCAGCCGCGCCACCGCGCCGCCACCTCGGCCGCCGGTCGATCTCGACCGGGGCAGGTCGGGGAGTACGACCAGCACCGAGATCATCGGCGTGACTGACCCGGTGAAGGTCTCCTGGAAGCCCATGGTGAAGGAGCCCTTCACCAAGTCGTCGACCGGGTCGTCTCGGTGTTTTTCGGATGTGCGGACGGTGATGCAGTAAGATCCCGTGTGTGTAAATAGGCTGGAGAAGATGGATGAAGATGATGAGTCATAACAGTATAGCAATTATATATAATAGGGTTCTAGGATTGTTAAGGATCATTAGAGGATGAGTTGAAGGTCTGACTAATTAGGAGTTGTTGAAGGGATTTCTTCACCATTTTTCTTCTATAATGTATTATATGTCCATGCTTTTTCAACTATAACTAACTAAGCCCTCATGAACATGTATACATCCGTGTGATCCTCTCTCGCTGACCAGCTTGCCGTCTCCCCCAACTCCACTCCCCCAACCGAACGAAAGAGGACTATTTGGCCCTGCGGAATCCGGACAGCCGACGCCTGCTGGGCGGGATCTACGTCTCCCATCGCCTGGTCACGGAAGCCGAATCGGCCCGGGGAGCCCAGAGACGGTCCGACGGGGAAGGACCGGAGACGGAGACGGACCTGAGCGGAGAGAGCGTTCGGGTGGCAGAAGTGGTTGGGGGAGATCTTGATTGGGAGTGGAGACCCCAAAAAGCACTTAGTTAGTTGGCCGGACATAGGGCCTCTATACCCTCTAGCGTGCTAATATACCAATATACTGTTGCTCTTCCTCATTCTAAGCTGTTTCATCCTTCAACTCCTTTTTGCTTGTTTACAACCATTCAGTGAAGCTGATGTTCAACAGTACTAAACAATTAAATACCCCCGAATTGCTGTGACACCCTTCTCCTGTCACCGCTTTAACCCCAAACGCACGCACGCTCCACACCGAGGCCTCCGTCGGCGACGACACCATGAAGTCGGGCCGCGTGGCGCTGCCGAAGCTCACGGCGCCGCTGGAGTTGGAGCACCGCGTCTCCGGGCGCACGGGGAACTTCCCGCACGGCTCGCCGGAGGAGGTGCGGCGTGTTGCGAAGCCCGCGTGTGGGGGGCAACTTCCTGGTGGTCTTAGACACATGTGGAGACGACGGCTTTTCTGATGTGATTCTTTGCATGTTTTTTGGGGGAAGGCATGAGAAGGTGCCGAGGAGGTTTGGTGTGTGTTTTTGTGGGAGTGGGGTGGAGGGAATCAAGTTCCTTGTGGACTTGGGTCTGTTGGGGACCCGGTTTGCGTCTGTTGGTGTCGCGAGGCCATCGAACAGGCTGTGATCAATGCAGAGGCACAGAAGCTTTGCCCAAATTGAGAGGTTTCTGCACAGCCACGTGTGGACCACAGTGCGAACAGCTGCACATCATCCAGCAAAAACAATGATTTACAGGGTATAAAGGGTGGATTTGGTGGATGTTCTTGGATTTTCTGTGGTGAATGTTCTGCAGCCACACTTCTTTTGTTTGGCAATTTTAAGGTCCTCGAAGAAGCCAATTGTATAAACATGCAACTGGGTGTTTTTTATTCTTTGAAACTGACCTGTGCCGCCATGTGTCTCAGATCCAAGGAACAGAGCCTTGCTCCAACGATGCAAGAAGGAAGATCAGCAGAGTCCCCATGACTTCCCGGGCATGCGTTTGAACAACGGCTGGCGAGAGTGGGATAATTTAGATGCTCTCTTCGAGAGCATGGGCCCTAATCCTTTGGTGATGTCAGAGGATCTGGGGCCACAGGTCTCGCGTGGTTACCAGCATAGCTCCAACTTGGCGCTTGGTCAGTTGCCTTTGAATCTTTTTCTCTTTTTGTTGAGGAGGTGAGAGCTGATTGAACACCAAACACAACATCATGCAAACTTAAAAGGACGCTCTTTGCAGGGAGCTTCGATGTTTTTTCTTTTTGCGCCGCAGAAACGACCGCGCTTGGCCGCTGTCGACCGCAGCTTGTTCCTTAGGCTCGCGATGTGGCGAAGCATCTGCCAGCGGCCAGATCTCAGGCGGATCAGATGCTGAATCTGGAGATGCTTCGCATGTACGTGAAGGATGATATCTCCAAGGGTGAATCCATGATTCGGCCCGTGGTTTGCAAGGATGCCTGGTTGAAATGCGCCCCAGTTTTCGGAGGGTGATTCATCTGATTTTCCTCTAAATCCATACAAATCATCGGGAAGATATATATATATATGTGTGTGTTATGGTTTTTCCTTCACATCCTAAGGATGCCAATGAGATTGCAGGTCCACATGATATGACCTGGTGTCCCGATCCACCCGTCTATGTTCCCATGTCCAACTTGACGGAGAAGGACAAGGAGACGGTGCGGTTAGCGTGCTACAAGCCGGAGCAGAATGCCTCGCTTTTGTTCGTTGATGCCAATCCCAATTACAACATCAGAGTCTTGGAAAAAGATTGCTCCCTCCCACAGCCAAACCCTGACAGACCCATCTTAGACAACACCAGAGTCTTGGAATGGTGATCAGATGATTTGTGAAGCCTTCCCCGGACATCAACATTACAAGTTCAGACATCAACGAAGGGAATTCTTCCAGAACACCCCACCTCACCAATCACATGGAACGGGCAAATTGCGTTTCCTTGCCACCCCAAAAAGCGCCTTCCAACCTTGACCCAGCGGCCACGCTGCGCGCCCCGTTCGTGGATAGGAACTTGACTTGGACGATGTCAGTGTGTCCTGTGTCGTGGTCACGTTCCGTCGCCAAAAGCAAACAGCTCAGCCAAGGAGATGATCTTTGGGGTGCTCTACATCCGCAAAAGACCAAGTACAAACATTTGCAGAATCTAAATCCACCTCACGGCCGTGTGAAAGATGATTGTATCATGGCCTGAAGCTTCTGACCTGACAACATAGGTCGGGCAGAGGCAGAGGTGTTCACTAACAAGAAGCGCTTCTGGGCAGATCCACAATCTATAGATGTTCAGTCTCACAGCCCAAAGTAGTCTTCAGATGTGTTTCACAACCACACGGTGATTGTTTTCCAAGCAGCGTGGCAGCGTGTGCGCTTCTCGGAGTTGGAAAAGAGGTGCCCGGAATCGTTGTTCTTTGATGTTCTTTGTCAATACCTGATTGGTTCATCAAGCAAGGTCATGGACATGAGTATGCCGTGCACGTGTCCTGAGCCCCGAAAGGAAGAGGAGTTTGTTTCACCCAGAAAGGGGGGGTTGTCCACTCAAGCAAACGCGTTGGAGGGCCGAGCCGCCGAAACTGCAGGATTCGGAAATGGTGTGGCCTTCCCCAGGGGTGGAGTGCTCAGACATTTTCAACGAACGAGAGCATCAGGTCGCAGCTGAGGTTCTCATGCATGATACACTCCATGAAGCTAAGCATGGAAGTGGATGGCATGGCCCTATTGGATAACCATTGTTCCTCTACAAGCAGGTGGCACCATCTACTCCCAAATTGGGAGGGTATTTCTCTTTGGATGGGACGGATGTGTTGCGTTTAGGGGATGTAAACTGGATGTAGCTGCTTAGCTTGCCCAAAGATCATGGTTTGCCCAGACGCTCACAGAGGGAGACAAACACGTTTTCAGGAATTCCATAGGTCAACAACTAAGTATGCCACAAACTCTGACGCCTCACCGAAAAAAAATAAAAAAATAACAAACAATGTGCTCTCTTTGAACAGCTCATGCTTTTCACAAGTTAACCACATGCTACGTCTACGTGCCGTCTAGGTGCCACCGGACCGAATGCCACATGCTACGCTGATGAGGACCACCCAGACACGACCTGTCTGGGACTGCCAGTCCGGACTGCCGATCAAGCCGATCACCCCTCATGGCCCCACCCCAATGGGGCGGCAGTCCGTCCTAGCAGTCCCATGAGTCGAGTCTGGGATATACAGGGTCTCCAAGGTCATCTCCGTCTCTTCGTTTGTAGGAAACTCGTCTCGACATCCATCCGGGACACATCTGTTCCAAGTAACGGGGGTCACCATGGGTACACATCACCAGTGACCGGTGGATCGGTGCTTGGACCCGGGTCCAGCCGGGTCCAAACACCTCATACCTGGTCCATGGATGTAGAGTCCGAGACAATGAACACACTCTCTCTGATAGCTTCTATGAGACTGGCTAGCTATCAGTGAGTCAAAACTGCTAGCTTCCGTTTGTGTAGGATACATCTATTCTCATCTATTTATATACATTTTGCATATTCACTCATCACCCGAGCCTTTTAAACGTTTGAACTACCTCCAACTGCGAAATGATCACGGAAGAAGGCGTCGTTGGGTGAACACAATGTGAATACTATTTGTCAGCCGAGCCGAACCTTCATGAGGCCGCTGTTCCAATGTGCCTGGATCTTTGATCACATGCCACCATTGCCCGAAGAACTTCTGGCGAAGACCAACTTGGACTGCTCAGCGCGAAGAACTGCGGGCCGGATCAACAAGACAAAGCCCGATCTGAGATTCCTGCCAGAGTTTTGGTGTTATTTTTTCTTCTGGCCCATAGACATCTCGAAAACATGGCGTGCAGAATTGGTTTGTGCTTCGCAATAATTCGTCCTGCAAATAGGATTGGTCCGCTCGCGCACACTCCTGCCTGTACCGATGGAGATGTGAAGCGCACACCCCTCCGACCCCAGCTTGTTTGGTCAAGGTCTAGACAGAGCCCAACCGATCCACACACAAACACGCAACAGGACCTGGTTTGTGAGCATGAAGTGCCCGCTGCCGGCGACGAAGCCCACATTCCAGAGCTGCGTGTCGCGAGGTGCGCTCGCGCGAAACCGTGCACGTAGCGAGTGTGCAGTCAGATGTAGGGTTCAATGGATTCCGTGACCCTTCAGATGGTTCCAAGGCCCAGATGGTTACAGATGGTTCTGATTCGATGTCGGGGAAGAGTCTGAAAAAGGAAGATTTGCTGAGGATCTTAAGATCGGTTCAGCTGACAGTAGGCAAGTCATAGGAGTTAGAGTTTGGAGACGTGTTTGCTGAAATCAGAAAGTCTTCAACGTCAAATGCTTGTGAAGTGGGGTCAGTATTGTCCTCAGATCAAGAGAGTAGTCAACTACTGGTACCCTGTTGAAGTAAGTAACTAAAAATTTTGTATGGACGCTTGCTTTTTTTGCAGACTACCATGATCAGTTGAACAACCGGGTTGTCCTCTAGGCTGAAAGAGAGCCTCATTCAGACCCATGTTCATCAACCACAGGCAAGCAGTGCTGGCAGCTACTGTATAGTATTATAATCTAACTACCAGGGCCTTCAAAGTGACCTCTTTGGTGTCTCTAAGCGACCCTTTGCAGGCCCAAGTGACCTTATCCTGGGATCTCAAGTTCGGTCACTTTGAAGGTCCTGGTATAGCAGGTTTGCTTGAACGCATGTTTGGTACCGGGTCACTCAGGTTGGCAGACTCTGCTTCGCTCCCTCGATGTTTACATCGTCACCGTCGCAAGGCGAGGCCAAGAGATCTTGGTCACCTTGAGAGGCTGCGTCCCAGGTGACGAAGGAGAACGCCAACGAGTTCGGGAAGGGTTCTCAGCGCCCCACGTTGAGCGAACGTGAAGAAAAGAATGGGGCCCTGAAACGTTAAAACGTCGCGCGTGAACGTAAACGGACATGCTCCATGTCTATTCGGAGCCGAGTTTTGATCGACATCGGAATCCATTTCGTCGTCATGGAAAAGACATGTCCAGCTGTTTTGTTCTGGAACAGACTCGGTGTCTTCTTCATTGGAGGAGAGGCCAAGATCCTTCTGGAGGAGTTGGATGCGATGTTGCTGCTCTTCTCAGAGGAGACGAGGGGACCAGTGATGAAAAAGGCCAGGAAGAGTCGAAATGGAACACCCATCAGAGCCAGGAGAATGTGGAGAAGTACACTGCCAAGCCCTTAAGCGATGGGAGCTGGCGAACGGTGGTGGTTCTTGCATTGAAATTGAGAAACAAATTAACAAAGGATTGATTGAGCATGATTCATTGAGCAATAAATTTGCCAAAACAACCTGCCACTTAGAATAGCCTAAATTGCTAAGCCTATCGTAGACCCCACCCTACCCTCAGGTCCGTTTGAGTCTCTCTCGGTGTGAATTCGAACGCAGACGGGCAAGCAGCTTTGTGATTCTGTGGGCAAGGTTGTTTAGATGGGACAGCGTCCCTCAAATCTTCCGCCAGCCTGCACACCCAGAGTTTGCACAGGCCTCTAGATATATCTATACTTCTCCCCGAGATCCCCAGGGCAATTTGCAGAGCATAAAAAGGCTTGATATATTTATACATTTCAAAAATTGTGAACATTAATTTCAAAATTAAAAAACTTGCTTTTATCACTCTGCTCTACTAGACTTGCCAGCCTTTGCCAAAGAATCCTAATCTGGAGGAGGGGGTTATATTTTTGGTAGACCCTCCCTCTCAGCCTTTGCCAAAAGATACTAATCTGGAGGGGGAGGGTCGACCATTCGGTCAATCCTCCCTCCTAGCCTTTTCCAGAGGCTCCTAATCTGGATCTGGAGGGAACAAACACATCAGAGCATTCCCCTTCAATGTAAACCAGTCTGTGGAAACAAATCCATGGTGCACATGTATAGGAACCTGGATTCATGAAGGCATTGTATGGGGCTGCAGTTCGGCCGGTCTTTGAGGTGCATGATCTTTTGCGGGCAGTTCCACTTGCACCGTGGCAGGCCCAGTTGAGGTATTCATCACCAAAGGCGCCAAGCAAATGACAGGTTAGGGCGGAATGCGACGGATGAAATGGACTTAGCACCCTGCAATCCCCCACCCCAAACATGACGACAGAACAATAAAGGCAGGGCAGATTCATCAAGAGTCTATTCTGGTGTCAGAGTATGGCTCTGACATAGCATGCACTTTGACAGTCAAACAATATAGTTGTGCAATGTTGTGCAAAGAACTCTCAACAGCTGTGTATGAAACAAAACTGATGGTTGACACAACCAGAAACTAAATACACTTAGCAAATCCGGTTTCTTCTCGGACCACCGGCCGCGATCGACATGAGTGTCACAGGTGTCACGCCGTAACCAGAGGTGTCGTCTTGCTTCCATCGCGTCTTGCTGTGACTGAGGTGTAGTTGTGCTCCCATGGTCTCGCTGGATGACCAGGAGGGTGGGTTGGCTGAGTACAACTGTCGACAACTTTGAATGGATGAATAACCTTGAATAACTATTACAAGTTTTTCTTTGTAGTAGAGTAATCGTGTTGCCATTATCATTGGGTGCTTTCCATTGTTTACAGAGATGTTCATTCAGAATGCAAATCGATGTTTAACAGTGTAACTCTAAGAAATGAGTTCGTCACATCTGGATGAATATTTTTCCGCCGTGTCGCCCTTCCCGTTGCAGAATACACACAGATCAGCATACGATCATCACGATCCGCGGCATCATCCTATTGACCCCAATGGCAATAAGCACACTGCGTACCAAACGTTTCGGTGTTGTTTCAATTCAGATGACCTTCCACCCATGGGTTCCCCGAGCCTTGTCTTCAAACGGGTGCAAAAGCATGCATTGATTGAGGGTGCTCTTGTCCCAGGACGGAGTGTAAGACCATGTTAGACCTTTTGGATCCTTTTGGCGTGCTGTTTAGCATCAGCCTGTTGTCGTTCAAGTGACGTAAAGTGACCCAATGACCCTTCTTTCTCAGAGTCAGCCGAGTTGTTGCAGGTGTTGGAGAACTTTTGGAGGGAGAGATTGATGCATGAGGCGCACTGTGAACTGTGAATCCTTTCAATTCATCCAAATGCCCCTCCATGCTGCGACCCCTCGGTCACGTGCTCGATCTGAAACGACAGAGGGAGGAGACCAAGAGGGGGTTGAAAATTCGATCGTGATGGCCCCCTATTTCGGGGCAGAGACCAATGTGGTCCATCAGGTTGTCGGTTGGTTGTCTCTTGGAACGGAACGAGCCACGAGCCGTTGGCCCGGCGCCGCAAAAACGGGCCGTGTGTCGCTAGGCTGAGCTTCCACGTTCCTTCCAAGGCGCAGCTGTAGCGAGAGGAATCACGGCCGGGGCTGTAGATGGCCGAAGTGCTGATGTATAGGTGATTTATAGCAACCCTTTTTTGAGTGTGATGGTGATGAAGCGGTGGAATTTCTGTTTGCAGAGTTTCTTGCCAATGTAGCTAGATGCCAAATCGCTCGAGTCCACGTACAACATAGCCTTTGGACGGACATCCCGTGTAAATTCAAGATTATTGCAGATAGGTTCTGGAGATGCGCAGATTGGGGTCTTTGTCGTACCCCATAGGTTTGCAGGGAGCCTGTGTTTGTGTCGCGATGTAGTCCATTTGGCTTCTGAGTTTCATCCCAGGGGCATCAGCCGCATCTCCCTCGTGGCAGTCTTTGCCCTTCTTGCTGCCATCAACATCAGTGGAATCAGTGATCGTGCCTTGGCTGAAGTGCAGCTAGGGATCGAAACTGATCGAAAACCAAACGATGGATGGCCTTTTTTTGGTAGGAAGACTGCGAGAAAATGATCAAACGGTGTGGATATATACGAATTATTGGCGTTTGTACATATCCGCCTATACAGAATATGCAGTACTAGTATTACGTATGATCAAACATGTCGGTTCTAGATGTATGTTCGACGTCAAGTCGGATCACTTGTTCATCACGCTTGGACTCTGACGTTTTGTGACAGGCTTTGCGACGTGTCAAAAGCCTGATGAGTCTCCCAAGACATCAAAAGACACGATGTGTACATGATATATTGTTTGCATTTTTTTGCATGAGGAGTCATAAGCATGAGAAAACATGAACAATCAATTCTCTGATGCGCGCCCCTGGCTGGAGTGGGTAGAGTACTGGCATGTCAGACAACTTCATCATTCATGAGCATCACTACTCAATTTTGTGCTCAGGCGGCTTTGGCTGGGGTGTGGCTTGGATCAAGTCATCTCGGGTCTCCGTGCATCTCTAGAACGGTTGTTGCACGTAGAACTGAGATGAATTGACTTCTTCATTTCCCCGGCAAACATCCTGACTCACTCGCTTGGCGTCTCAGAGAAATTATGAGAAAGACTCTTAGCTGGACCATGTGCTCAGGCTGGGCGAAATGTCTGGCCAGGAGGAGGTATCAGTCATGGTCCTTAGTTGTCCTCCCACAACAGCTTGCAAAATCTTTGGAACAACTTAGATAGATTGAACAACTAGTTGGCTGTCCACAGATCAGAGGTGATCCGCGTGTGTCTTGCATGCCCGATTCCAGGTGATAGGAAGCCTTTGGCTTTGTCAAACAAACAGGTTTTGCTTCCAGAGCTTTTAATACCATGTTGAGGTCCTGGTGCCACTGGGAGGCAGATTCTGCGTGGGCAAACATGTCGGCACACTATTACAGGACGGCGCATTCTTCAGATGCTAGCTGGGTGAAATTTGGACACTATCACTCTATAATACTCTATAATCTATACTATATAAGTGTGTTTGTTTGTGCGTTTAAAGGGTTTTCCATGTCCGCATCACATTGTCCGAGCCGCTCCTGTGCAGTGCTAGCGGGGTATGTTAGGATGCATCACAGATGTGGATTTGGATCAAAACCAGATACTTTGGTCAAGGTCAGAGCTTCTAAATTGATCATGCCAGCTGCCCTACAAAAGGGTTCAACGTTCTCACACACACACATGCGCTCGTGTCAATGTGCCCTGATGGGTAAACATAGTTTATCAAACCCTTTGCTATTGAAGACTCGTTGGAGCAAATGGTAAGAGCAGCTGACAAAGAGTTCAAGTTTAAGACAATATGCTTCGAGCAGCCTTCTTGTGTAAGCCAAACAGGTGAAGAACCTACCGGTTGGCAGGGGCCTCGAACGATTTGTAGCAGAGCTGCTACGAACTCTCAGGTGGAGCAGTAGAGCTTGACACGCTTTGGACCGAAAGATGAATTTGATCGGGAAGTTTTAAGTGAGGAAGAATATCTTAGAGAAAAGCGCATGTCTTTGGCAGGCAGCATACTTAGCGTTGTTCACGAGCTATACTCAGATTGTTTGTCCAGTTGGAACTATAGTGAGGAGTGAGGACACATTGAATATGGAGATGCGTTGGATGAGCAAGTGAGCCTTGGGGGTCTCTTTGCCTGCCTTGCGGGATTCTTGAGTTACCTGCATAGAGAATTTCAGTTGAAGCATGTCAACACCAGTTTCTCCTTCTGGTGGAGTCAAAGAATCCAACCTTGGACCATTGGATGTTCGCATATGTTTGCATGCCCACACATCTGGCGAACTCGCCCGTTCCAAGGTTTCCCTTGTGCCTTGCGAAGGTGCAGTCAGACTTTGAGGCAGGCCTCCTCCTCTTCTCTGGCAGCGCCACCAGTGACTGGATGTGACCGGTATTTTTTGTTGTTTTTTTCCGACTGGCAGCTGATGCCACTGCTTGGTTTCAGACGGGTTCAAGTGGATGCTGAAGTGCCCAAAAAGCACTTGGCAGGTGGCTGCAGAGCTCACCAAGATGGAAAAGCACGCCCTGGTGCCACGCTACGCTCTGGAAAGGTGGGCTTTTGCTGGGCAAACTGCGTGCTGGTAGGGCGGTGTACTGGCGCATGCGGCACCTGACACCCCTGAATCTGAAACAAGAATGAACCAGCAAGCACCACCCGAACGATGGTCCTAATGAGCCCTTGCCGTTACCATGCATTTACCATCCAGCAATCCTTTTGCGTGATCCTTTAAAGGTATGTTGTTTAAACCACCGGTGTCGGACACTTGATCAAAAACCCGGTCACGAAAAAACATGTCCGGAAAAAAAACCAGGCACACGTTTTCAACGACAGAATTCGCTTTTTGCCGACCCCGGCGGGTGCCCATGCTGGCCAGCTCAAGGCTGATGGCACGACCATCGAGGCCTTCTGCCGCAGTGCTCCAGGTCAAAGGCCTGGAAACCGCAGTTCGCTTACACTGGGAACTTACACCTGACAGACCAAGAAGATGGGAAACAAGCCAACCTTCTGGTGGAGGGATGTTCGAAAGACGCTTTTCATGAAAGAAACGCTACAGACGTCCTCCTTCTGAGCACCGCGTTCGTTGTTTCTTTGACTTCTCAGATATCACCCAGCTTCATTTTTTACAGAAGAGTGAGATGTTGAGCATGGATGCCGTGGTGTTTGTCTTCGGGTACCTGTGCTGATCCATTTCCAGCTTGGACAGGTCCAGCTTGCGGTGCGTGGTGTTTGTCCACAAGCTTGCAGCAATGGGGTGAGAGTTGCTGGGCACAAATCCAAATGTGATCATTTATGGCTGGATTGTCCTTTTATGTATTTGTCTTTGAGCCTGCAAAGTCCAGTTTCGTGTTTTCTGATGTATACATTATAGTTGAAAGATCCAACTTTCAGAATTCAGACTTGGAAACCAGACAATTGCACTGAACATCATTCAGCTGCAGGTCCATGGCTACATCATGGATTTCTTGGGGATTCCATTAAGGAAAAACGGTGTGTGTGTTTGTCTTCCTACCCATGAGCATTGGACAAGCAGCGAAACCATTTTTTTGAGATTGGTTTCCCCCACTCCACAAGAATGGATGTTTGAGGGATTTCCAGCTCGGGAGTCCGCTGTTTTTCAGAGAGCGCGCAGTGTTGGTGTCCCAAGGATGCAGTCAGCGAGTACGCAGTTCCGTTGCATCTCATCGAGATTTAGAGAGTGTTGAGCTCATGGTGGCCTTGGGTACCGTGGACATCTGCACCAGGACAGCCATGGGTCATGGGTGCGCAGGCACGTCGACTTATTGCACAGGAGAAAAAGGATCAAATTGGTTTCATGGGACGCCGTGGGTTAAAACATGTCCACACTCTGTGACCAATTCCAGGAATTGGCTCCCACATGTTACCCCTACACCTCCACTGGCCATCTGTATGCGTTGATCTGCTCTGCCAGAACTTTGCCACCAATTTGCAGGAGCAAGACGTGTGGGTTGATGATCTTCAATGAGGCCTGTGGCTTTGACCAGCCCATGGCACAAGCACTTGCCAAGCGTCTCACTGCCCACTTCGATGAAGACCCGTCCAAGCAATCCAAGCCACGCGATGGATTCTTGGCTTGGAGTATGATTATTGTAGGGTAGGGTTGCTATAGATGACATAGATGCTACTGGGCTTCAAGTTTGATTAACTTCTCATTGGGTTGTTTGTTTGAACAAGTTGGGACCACTTCGGTACCACATAGACAGATGCATTTTGGTTTGTCCAATCCCTTCATGTTCACTGAAAAGAGCATGACCGTGGCGCCATGCGTCTCCCTGTTCTAAAACCTCTCTTGGCTATATTAATGTGTCCTTCTTGCACAGACTTTTCCTGAGCTCTTGGCTACATATATATATATATTCATCTATGTCTATATATATATATGTCATTCTATGATTCTATGTACCTCACCGGTCCCTCCTTTCTTCCCGCTAGTTGCTAGAGGATGTCCAGATGAGCATTCGCCAAAATGCGCAGTGACCAATTTACCACATGTCTGCAGTATTTCGATATGTTCAGCTATGTTGACATTGTGGCTAAAACCTGCAAAAGCGATGGGCGGCCCCCCTCAGTTTGCGATAACCTTGCTTTTGATCATGTCCTTTACTTCTTCCAGTACGTTCCTCTACAGACGCTCAGATGCTCGTCCAGGTTTGTCCAACCTTCTTCACACCTCGGGCGTCGCCGGCTCCCCGCCCTTGCTGCGCACGAACCTCCTGCGGCTGCTGCTGCAGAGCGCCCAGCGCACGCCGCGCAGCACGGCGGCGGCTGACGTGGGAATTGCGTCACCCGAAATGCGCAAAAAGGGGTTCGGCTGAAACGAAGGACTAGGTTCCTAGGATTTTTTATATATCTTTTTTTAAGTGGTTTTTCTATGTTTTTCTGTGAGTTGTCGAGTTGTTGTCATAATATAGATCGATTTATAACATATTTGGGATGTTCATTTGGAAACACTATAGAGGACCCTCCAGCACATTCCTGGTCTGTACGTAATTGGTTTTCAGGTAAGGATCAGTTGGGCGGGATGGCGCACATGATCATGGCGAGAATTGAACTGGTGCACCCTCAAAATCGCCTCATCATCGGCTGGACTCGCGAGATTTTGAGGTTGAGCTACTCCGAGCTGCTCTCCTGTGCAGCTGCAGCTTCGGAAGAGTCCGGATTCCTGTCAGTTGAGAGAGAGAGAGAAAAAAACAAAGAAAAAAGGAAGGAGGTGGAAGAGGTTCGAAGAGATGCAGACTCAGAATTGAACCTGCAAGATGATGCAAGCAGTGGTGGAAGAAGCATAATTCAAGTGCAATGACTCATGACTTCATGAATTGCTTGCACTGCACCAGCACTGTTGGCGCCGTGTTCTAATATGTTACAACACGGAGATGTTATTTTTTCACCCACAAGGGGGTGGTGCTACCCTGGCCGAGGCTGATGGTGTTTGCCGGCTCCAGAGCCATTGTGGGTGTGTTAGCTGAACGTGGTGTGGCTGCTTTAGTGGGCCTTCTCGCAGCCATGTCGCCTGGCGACAGCGGTGCGGACTGGGTCTGGGCACACAAACGCACAGGACATTAGGTCTGAATCATGACGGGTGTTTACGGCTGTTCCTTAAGGGAATCCAACTCACAAAACATAGAGATGGTGATGGGCAAGCCTTCTTGCAAACGTGATGTTACTCATCCATCCTCTATATAATTACTCTACCCATCCAGCCCTCCGGCCCCAGACTGTATGTGCTGTTCATCAATTACTTTTTGGTAGTGCTGTTCTTCTTGTTCATATTATCCCTGCTTGGTTTTGCTGCCGTCTATGTTCCAATGAATGAATGCGTGTTGTTGGCGCCACGATGCAAAGGCTTACAACAGAATTCTGACAGAATATCCTTTTCTTTCAGTGCTACAGTCAGAAGGTGCAGCATGTGTATGTAGCTTTCTGCCATGGTCACAAGTAGTTGGCATGATCAGGCCTAGTGGTTTCTGCTGGCACAAAGCTTCGGTTCAGTGGGTCAATGGTTTGCAACATGTTAGCAGAAAGTGCACCGCGCACACATGCAGAAACCACTAGAAATCAAGACCGGTTCAGGTTTCAATTCGCGCCCTTGTTTCGTGTCGCTCCCCCACATAGGTGCTGTGCTGCCTTCCATGTGTGGAGTGCGGACCTGGCAGGACTAGAAGGTGCAGGTCTTGAACAAATCGCCCAATGCACATCTCCACGCCGTCCGCTCCGCAGATTCCTTCCCGTGCCGTCTGAGTGAACTCATCCACTCCGCTGCATCTGCCGTACGGCCACCCGTACGCCAAGGCGACATGCATGATGTGGTTCGTGCCAATTCCCAGCGATTTGCCATGTTTTGGACGGGACCAGCAGCGCAAAAAATAGAAAGCACCACGGTGAAACACAGGGTGTTTGTACCTTGCGGAGCTTCTTGCTTTTCGACGGTCGCCCCAGTGGCTCTGAAGGTTTTACCGGGCTTCGGTGGCTCTGAGGGTTTCAAGTGTCCTAAGAAGCAAATGAGTTCCGTCATGTTCCGTCACAGTGTGCCATACATTGTTGCGCCAAAGGCATGAACTTGCCATACATATCCATACTTCTCTGCATGAAATGCATGTAATTGAATGCACGGTGCATGAAAGCACAAAACCCCAGGTGTTTTTGTGGGGGTTTAAAACAACTTGCGCATGTGTGAAAACCCCGTCGGAAGGGAACAACCAAAGCCGCCAAAAGAAAACCAGCTCGTAGGCTCGCACAAATTTGACGCGGCCTGGTGGCGCGCAATGTTTGCACTTCCGACTGCACGTCGCGCGTGCTATCAGTCCGGGCAGTACCTTACTCCACGAGTCTCTACGGGACTGCATGACAGCATGGAAGGTCTCACGGTCAGTCGGAAGTACCTTATGTTTACATTCCTGCTTTTGGTATTTTCACGCAGTCGTGACTGTTTGTTCTGCCACAGAGAAAAAAAAACCTTTTCAACACTCCGGATGTATATACAACCTATATGTCTCTTGAAGCCTTATTGAAGTCCCTGTTTAACTGTATAGGGGATAACATGAGGATGGCATGAGGAGGGAGCCTATGATATGCCAGCCTCTTGTGGTTTAGACCATTTCCATGCCATCTACCCCCGCACTAGAGAAATGTGAAACAAGTAGATGGCATACAATACAAATAGAGCTCAAAAGCATTCAAAAGCATTGCCAGAAAATGCAAGAAATGTCAGCAAATGTCGCTTGATCCGTTTGGATCTTTGGATGTCGTTTTGTAAGAATGTGCACTGATTGATGGCATTTGGTGTCCGTCGCGTCTCAAGCTACCATGGACGATGATCAGCAGGGGGGCAAACAGTAGGAACCGTAGTGCAGTGAACAATAGGTGAGATTTGTGTGTCTCTCTCTCTCTCTCTCTTTCTCTTTGAAACCACCCCGGCTTTTCAGGAACACATAGATGGCATTCTCGACCAACACATAGGTCCCGGTAAGAGTAATGCAACCCTCCATTTCCATCTACTTGTGTACAGCCAAAAATGCCATCCACTCGTGATCCCCTATAAATTTCCTTGTGGATTCTGGAATCATTCTTTTTCGACTGTAAAGGCAATCTGCACAGCCGGCACAGCCTCAGTGAAACTAAGGTTAGTAGGTGCTGCTTATTGCCCGCTCATTCCATCGCAGCCGCCAAACCGGCTGGCCTTGACCCCAGGATGTCTAGACAATCTTGGAAGGATGTCTAGACCGACCGAAATCGGCAAGAAAACCCATGCTGATCGTCCGATCCATCTCGAATCGTCCCAAACCCATCCCGTGGCTCCCAAACCCATCCCGTGGCTCCCAAACCCACTGTCACTCTTTGCCACTATCTAACGAAGAAGATCGAGCTGAAGCTTTGAGTGGAAATTGTTGCCTTGGCAATGGAAAACATCTCCAAGAACCTGCGGGCCCTCCACATCTATCATCTATTGGGTGCAGCTGTGATTTTGATGATGACATAAAAACAACAACAACATGGATTCACACGTCAACATACATCAATTTAACCACAGAGTTACTTTTGGTCTTTAAAACATGTTCAACGTAGTCCCCATGCTGTCCACCTCCGGATCTGTGCCACAAGAGTTGCTCCACCAAACAACCTTCGTCGCTCAAACCCGAGGCCTCGATGATCTCCGTGGCTGCCATCCGAGCTTTGCTCTTCCACCCCTCTGCCGAAGAGCTCGCCCACGAACTCCAACAACTCACGAGCCTCAACACGGTGCCCGGGAAGAAGACGAGGGAAGATGGGGATGGGGCGGGGTGGTGGAAGAGGTGTGCCTGAGAGTTGGACGATCTAGTTGAGAGCGGTCTTGGCAATCCAGGATCTTTGGTATAGGAATGTGTATATATATATATATATCCAAATGACCACCATCAAATGAAAAAAGTAATCAAAGTTTGGATAGTAGCTAGCATGCATGTTCTTGTATAGGAAATACAATCCAAGTTTGAAACAATGACCACCATCACCACTTTGCGAAACCATCCCATTTCCCAGGAGGTCAATGGCATGCTTTTTCACCTTGAGTTCCAAGGTGTCAATCCAATTGGATGCTTCAGTGAGGACGGGGCTCGTTCTCTTTTCATGGTGTGGTGCCACCAGGAAAACAGCAGTGGCTGGAAAAAATCCGCCAAGCATCGAGTGAAATGATGATCGTTTCTTTCGATGATTCATGGACCATTTTCTTCTGGCAATGTTGGTCAACTGTCCATCAATTTGCTGAGAGGAAAGTTATGAACAGTTCCTTCCCAGGAGTCGCTCTCTCCATGAGATCTCCCTGTCCCGGGCCAGCTCTGGAGATGAGCCGATGCACGTGAGCGTCGTTCATGCGTCGCTGGGATGACTCGGTATGTACCAAAGAACGGTAGAGTGGCGAGTGGCGAGTGACTGGTTCAGACATTTTGCATGATCAGAGCGCCATCGCAGACCTGATGGTTCAATCGGATGCGTGATGATACTTGGTGGTTGCTTCAACGTCTCAATGAAATTAATCTAAACATACTAAATTATTAGCAGAGATCATCACTGATATCACCAGTTGTTACCTACAGCCTGCTACCATCTCTCCAGGTACTCTTCACATCAGGATCCACGGGCACTCCCAAGGTGGTGCGAGCATCGCACACCGCCGCGCGGGTCCCAGTGGTTTCCCAAGCTCCATTGGCCTTCCACATCATCACCTTGCACGTCTCACGTGCGGCTTCCCTCGCGCGCCCTCCCGCTTCGCGCCCACGGTTGACACGCCCCGTCGACGTCGACGTGGACGTGGACCGTGAAAACCACGGCCCAGGTCCTGACGCATTTGCTCCACGTGGTGCGGACGCATCAGCTGCAAGCGACCGATGTGGGGCTCCCAGCCGACCTACGTGGGTCAGCGACGGTCAACGATGAAGGTTGAACAGGTCAGCCCTGGAAGGAGAAGACCAGGGACGATGGGCGCTCCATTCTGTTCATGTTCCGTGGTTGTTTGGAAGGTGTTCCGGTGCCATGACCTACAGCCAGGTGATTGTTGCTCCACTGTGGACCCCTTGCAGGTTGCAGAAGAACGACCCTGGAAGCAGAACAGAGCAGAACCCCGGATACCGCTCTGAAGATTGGCTTGGAATCACATGAGCAAGGGCCAAACGAATCCATTCGAAGAGCTTTCAAGCACCAGAACGAGAAGAGCATTTTCTCGTATGGACTCTCGTATGGTTTTACACATCGAGATAGACATGCAGATGCAGAAAACTGTCCCAGATACATGGCCCAGAATGCAGGAACCGGTGCCATGTTGGTTCTGTGCTTGTCTTCTCGAGCCCAAGTTGAGGTGGCCTTGCAACACACCAGCCTCGCATGGGTGGCTGCAGCCCCCGAACTCTGGACGCCTTTGCTTGCTGGGGCACAGCTGGCGATTGCGCCGTTGGCACCCAAAGGAGGTTCCTTGCAGAACTGTGTGTCCAACTTCTTCAAATAATATGTTCACATCTCCAAACACACTGCTTCACCCCCCAGGATGCAGTCAGGAAAGGTGCCCATGCAAGGGAGCATGCAAGCACAATGATTGAACAATTACTTTCATCATTGTTCATCTCCTTTGAACTCACAGCACATTCACTGCTTTTGTGAATGCAGCATCACGCTTCTCCATTTGACAGGAGCAAAAGATTTGGAAATGCTGGCCAGCATCCTAGTCATTCTTTTCCACTGGCAGTCTTTTCTTGTTTTTGTCAGTTGGAATTTGCAATGAGAAGTTGCCTCTCTCTCTCTCTATTGATCTAGATTTTTAATAACGGCATAAGCTTTTTTTCCACTTGCCCAGCAATCGGGCACCTGACCAGCACCTTTTTCCTTTGCGTTCCATCGTTTTCCCTGCGTTGTCCTCCTTGCTTGGTTTGTGCACTGAGACGCCGGCCCTGAGGCTCAGTTTGCCAAGCGTTGCAGCTTGCAGCAGTATGTGCCTTCGGTTCTCCAGGCGCCATGAGGGTGATGCGTCCTACAGGTGACCAGATCTACAAAGACCTGCCAAGGTAGCACAGGTGACCAGACGAGAGCTAGTACCAGCTAGTTGTTGAATATCAAAGAGGGATACCAACAAAAAGGAACCAAGGCCAAACAACCGGAAACTCTCAGAGTTGTTGTTTGCTCTTCGGAACCCACGTTCTTCCAAGATCTCGACCAGTCAGTTGGAACAGTGTCGGCCTTTCTCTTGCTTCGCTCTTCAGCCACAACATCACATCCACATGACCTTCGATGTCCGTCGTGTTTTCGAGGCCATGCTGCTGGCTGACTTGCCCGTGAGTCCAGCTTGCCGTCATCTCGTACTGACAGGCGACGCAGGGCGACGGACGCTCCACTCACTCACTTCGCCTCCGATCGCGCCGCTGCGGCGGAGAACCCGATCGGAGACACAAGACTCGGAGCAGCAGGATGAATCGGTCGTTCCACTGTGTCAGACAAGGGTGTGACTCCCTTTGCAATAGACTTGTGTGGCCAAGTGTGACGCAAAGAAGGTGTTCCTCATCATGTCATGCAGTGTGTCGTCTCGATATGTCTCGATGAGCCACTTCACATGGCATTCAGATTTGGTTGTCACTGTGGTTCCAGGTGAGCCTTTGCCGATGGAGCTTTGCAATCGACTGCAGAGCCATCATCGGCAGCTCCGAAATCACTACGGTCAGACCGAAGTGCCCTTGATGCACTTGGGACTGGTCATGAGTGGTCTTTCGTTACAGATGAATCATGATGAATCTCCTTGCTCGCTCAAATGAATCGTGATGAATCATGCTCCTAAGTGTTGACTTTGGTGACCCTTTGCTGCGTTTTAACATGTGTTTAACACTTATTCCGTTCCGTTCCCCATGTGTTACGTCTTTCATGGTCTGCCGGACAGCGCTGCGGATACCACAGGCAGCGGACACCACCACTGTCTTTGTGGTGGGCGCGGGCAGCGGCGCCCCACGCGGAGCCTCTGTGCCCCTGGGACAGCCGGCCACACAGCGCCAGGTGCCTTCAGGGACGACTGAAGGATGATGTGAGAGGTATTTGGGGGCCAAGATCACTTCATTTTAAAGTTGAAGTATAACAATCAGATTGTATAATTATATATGTTATAACCATATTGTTATCATCTATATAATCATATTCGAGATACGGCTATATTTGGGCTCATGATTCATGTGTTGTTTCGAACCGGAGGTGTTTCGAACCGGACCTTTGGACCGACATGTTGTGCCGTCTCGCCGGTCGCGCCTCGAACGCGCCTCGAACCAACATCGGATGGGCAAGCACATCAGAGATCTTTCGGATGGGCAAAGCACACACACAATTGGCAAGCTTGTTCGATCTTTCGAACTGATTCGTCCATTTCTCTTTACGGACGGTAGTTTGACATAGTTTGAGTCCTTTATGTCGGAAGCTTGAGTCCTGCAAATGGAATGAGATGGCCGGAGAGCAAGCATGGCCCTCGCGGAAGATGTGTGCAGCTCGCAGCTGCACAACTGGCTTTTCTGGTTTGGACTTTCAGCTGCACTTGGTGTTGTGGTGCAGTAGCACTGCAAGAAGTTGAAGCATTGAAGCGCACTCCGGGCACAAGACTTGAAACAAAGGATCAAAGCGCGAAAATTGGAACCCTCAAAAAGTCCTGTGAGACGCTAGCGTCGTTTTGCCAGCAGAGTGGCAGCTTGAGGCGCCTTTTCTGGCATCGCTTTTATGGCACCATTGCTTTGGACAGCCTGCAAACACGAGAGGTGAACCGGTTTCAATGCTTCAAGAGAAATTTGAGCCCTGCAAACTGCATTCTGCTGGCAGCAATGAATCGTTCTTGGAAGACATCTAAAGCCCACCAACCGAGCGCTCCAAGCATCAGGCTGCCAAGGCTCCAGAAGGCTCCACATTGAAGAACATAGTGATTTGATTGGTTTCTTCATATTTCTTCTCCAAAAGGCTCAAATCCACACCTCCCATTCCATTGGACATCTTCCTGAGGATCGGACCGTTTCTGTGCCAACGACATCCATCTATGGCCTTTTTTGCGGCCACAAGGATCCACGGACGGAAAGAATCTGATTTCTTCGTGTCCACGGGCCAGGGAAGACATAGTTCTACCATCTTGTACTTCCTGAGACAAAGCGCCTGGACTTGGAAAATCGTCCTTCAAGAGCCTTTTCAAGCCTGGAGTCAATGTTGCTCTCATGTTTATGGAGGGTTGTTTGCGCAAGAGAAATGTAACCTGAACGAGTATAATTTGCTTAGCCTTCGAGGTGTGTTGGGAAAAACTTTGCTGAAACATGTTGACATGTGGCAGTTGAACATCCAGATCCTTTTGCTAGACGTGGCTTTGAAAGCTGTTGGGAGGAGAGAGATGGTAGCATCCTTGGCATCCACGAGCGTCAGGCGTCGCCTCAGCCAAGAGTCTAATGAGGGAGTGTACCGCAACAAACACGGCAGCGTTTCACCATTTGACCATTTAATGGTTCTTCCATCCACTGTACTGTTTGATTTGTTTGAAGCAATAGAATAAAAGATCAGCCAAGGATCACTGCAACAATTTGGTTGTGACATGATTATGAAGCACTGGATTGCCTAATGAACCAAATTGATTGATAAATCATGATAAATCCCCCAAAAATAATCCTTATCAAATCTCATCCACCTGGCGCCATTTTTCAACCCCTGACGCCCTCAACGCCCGGCTGGCTCTTCGACTTCACTCCGCGGCGCGAGGCGCGAAGCAAACGTGCCACGGAACGTGCCACGGAACGTGCCACGGAACGTGCCGTTGGCGCAACGCTTGGGCCTGGGAACTTCAGGGATTCGCGATGTGATGCTGCTGCTCACGGCTCTACAGTTCGGATACAGGCCGTTCAGCAAGCCCGGACATGGCCAACATATTCTTTGTGTGTCTAAAATCGCTGTGTCATGAACATTCTTTTATTGTATAAGCGTTCCTGGGAGTGGAAAAAATTGTCGAACAAGTTCATGACTTTTCCTGCCTGGATGCTCCACGTGTTGGAAAGCAGTTCTGCAGACAAGATCCATTTACGATCAGTGCCAGGGTGCTCAATGGCTCCCTTTTCTTTGCAGGCTTTTGGACACGGCTGCATTCTATGGCAATGAAGACGTTGTTGGAAATGCTGTGCAGCGAGCAGTGGAAGAGCAATTAGCTTCAGGTTGGCAAGCAGTGAAAAGTGTTGATTGGAAACATCTCCCAACGTTCATAATATGAACATAATATAATATGACATCTAATCCTGTTGGGGGAGTTCAACGGTTTGAAGAATTCTGTGCTAGGTCTTTAAGTGTCTCGCTTTGCTTTGGCGTGGATAAACAATCACAAACACTCACGGAACATTCAGCCATCATTCTTCACCGGGTAGATAGGGGGTTGATTGGTCCTTGACACACCCAAGCGCACACACTCTTCCAATGCAACATGTAAGCCATGGTCAAGTGTGAAAAAATAAGTGGCGAGCATCGTCGAACAGTGAAATTCTTATTCTTTGCTCATGGCTGCTGTTGTTTGGCCAGCAGACTAGACCCGCGGGTAAAATCCATCCAGTTGCAAATCCACGAGTCTTTGATTCAATAGCCAAGGTTGGCAGCAAACATGACATTGCCGTCCAAAGCTTAGAGGAGTTCTTTCGTACGCAGCGAGTTCAAGGAGTTCAGCATGAAACTTTCTTCCGACGAACAAGAACATGACACGTGTGCGCGGTCGGAAAAGACGCCTTGAGTGTGCTTTTTCTCAACTCAAAGCATCTTGAGGTGATGTGAGAGTGTCGGTGTCATGTTGAGTATTGCAAGGATTGGATATGAACAGAGTTCATCCCAAAGCAGCATTCTCTCTTTGGCCGTTGCATTATTTTGCTCTCCTTCACACGCTGTCAAGTCCGAGGTCACCACAAAGGTATGGTGGTCGGAATTGGGATACACAAAGACAAAGCCCTCTGTGACCCAGTCATTGGAGAGGCGGGGTGATTCGGGGATATGGATATGGGAGGCCACTATTGGCTACCTTGTTGCACCTGCAGGTTCCATGTGTCATTTACGTACATGTACAATATATAAGTTCATAATATGTCATAATATAATTGTATATATATATACATATAATATACTCTATATATAATATGATTATCCCCTTTTGCATTGGTTGCGTCGCGGTCAAGAAGCTTGTAGATAAAGTAGTCTAGGTTCCTGGCTCTTCCTCCCAGGTTGAGAGTCCAGCCTCTTCAATGGGGAGCTTTGACGAAACTCTTCCGAAGAGATGCTCAGAACCCCCCCTTGCAGGAAGACAGACATCTTGATGTGATAATGATAATTAATTAGTGCAGGAGTGCAAGTCCAATAACTGCAGTACAGTGTGGTACCTCTTTAGAACGCCGAAAGTTGGCAGGTTGGGGATGAGCAGCGTGGACACGGTCTTGTTGCACTGGCCGGGGAGGTGGCTCTCAAATGACGTGATTCGTTACTCGACTTGGGAAGTCCCCGCGCCACATGGGACTTCGGCGATGATCGGAAAGTGCTACTTATAGCTGCTAGAAGGTGCTAGTAGCGGAGGTTCCTACGGATGGCGGCAGCTCTTTCCCCAAGAAGTTGAGCATTGACACCGTTCTTGGCCATTATGATTCCTTGGGCATTATACCGGCGGAGCACGTTTGCCCTTTTTTCAGGCAATCGCATGTTGCGTGAAGAGAGTTGGAAAGCTCTTGAAGAGCTACAGCAGGACGGAGTGGGGAGGACATGCTGTTCTGTAAAGACTGATGCATTGGCTTTGAATTGGTCTTCGGCAATATCCCGCAAAGATGATCAAAGATGCTTGTATAGAAGCAACGCACATTGCAGTACATGGACTGTACTGTAGACTTCCATTTGGATTGAACACCCTCTTCATGTGGGGGGTCTACATTTTGTTGACTTGATCATTCTGGCTGACCAGTGAAATTGGTTTTGTTGCCCCAGCCGCCCCAGCCTCCCAAGGGAGAAGGATAACGAAATCTCAGTGATCCGAAGACGAGTATGTCACATTTGAATAGTGATTCTGGTTAAACGTGGCAGACTAGACCTCACTTCCTGCATGTATGTAAGCCCTAAATAGAAGTTAGCCAGAAGCTATCCTTGAGCAATCCACATTCCGCGACCATCGTCTCAGCAGGCCAAGCAAGTCCGTCAGATTGGCGTCTCCAATTTCACGCAGAAGCACCTGGAAGCGGCCTGGACTCCTATCGTCACAGGGCGGTGGAAGTGAACGATGCGTCGAAGTGGGGAATCAGCAGGGATACTGACATGGGATGATCATGGGATTACATAGAGCATCCTTGGAACAAAAGCTAACGTGGAAGGGAGCCAAATCTTCCACCAAACCAGACGCCCAGAGTTTGGCGCCCAGTTCTCTCATGTTGAATCTCCACATTGGGCACTCGAGAGAGTGCGGTGTAATGGAGAGAATGCGGTTGGATGCTCTCATAACCCGTTTTTGTAAGTCAAAGCTTAGCTAAGCTTAGCTAACTTCCATCCAGGCAAGTGATTCTGTTTCCCATTTTGCGCGCAAGTGTTCTTCAGATTCAGAACGAGAACAGTTTTTGCGCTACGCGGGCGCGACAGGCGCGACACGGGGGCCCGACACGCCCGCAACAAGGAGCAGCGTAAATAAAGCTCAGCGGCCAGCAGACCCAGGCCAGCTCGATCATGAACAAATCAGAAGGTCTTACTTCCTCACCTGCCTTAAGGAGGTGAAATCTGGAAAGAGCGAGCTCAGTGCAAAAGAGCACACGCACGCAAACAGAAGGCGTGTTATATCTCCGTCGGAATGAGTCACACTTGCGCGATGCTAGATGGGGTTGCGATGGGTTACGCATTGCTTCCATTCTTCCATTCTTGTTGTAACTTAAGGCTCACAGATGCACAACGTGGAAAAGGCCACCTGTGTCACACCCAGCGAGCCATGCCACAGACATGCAAAGCTTTGCCAACGATGCAGCGCGATCACCCCCTGGAAGACCTTGATTCGAACCCTCTTTTGCTCACACCGTAGATGTGTTTGCTCCTCCTGGTGAAGAAGCGAGAACAGAGCAGAGTCGAAAAAACAGAGAATGAGAGAGACAAGCAGAGTTGAAGGAAGAACAAACCAGGCAAGAGAAGGATCGTCCACCTTTCCCTGGCAGGACGTCAAGGGAGCATCCATGTTCCATACATGTCAGACGGGCCGCCTTTAATGTCTAAAATTTGGTCCAAGCGCAAAACCTTGCAGGAAGACTGATTAATTCAAAACCATTTAGATCATTTTAGATCCATTTAGTACAGATTGCAGATAAAACTTTTCGCGCAGGAGGGGTGATATCAAAAAAGGCGGAAAGGCTTTTAGATCTGAAGTGTCCTCTGACCTTTTGGTGAAGCTGTGACGACCTGGGATTTCGCCAGCGCTCAGAACAATTCAGAACATACCATAAAAGAGACATAGGTCTCATTAGGTCTCAATAAGTTTCTCTTTTGTTTTGTGGGGTGTAAGATCCAAAATGCCCGGACCAAGTCCTGTGGCTTAGGGATGGCATAGGTCGGTGGCACCATCCACCGACAAGTCCTGCCCGTTCTCAGCGCGTGCTGGCTCAAGTTCTTCCAAAGCGTTTGACTGAGATCTGTTGAGCCACCTCCAAAGTTCTTCTTGTGGCTTGCTCTCTGATGACTCACCTTGTGCTTGGCTCATGACCCACGACTTGCTCATGACTCACCTTGTGACTTGCGGTCCTGCGACCCACAGAAACGAGATCCAGGTGATCAATAGACACCCCCAAAGCATCCAAGTGGTTGCCAGTAGACAAATGTAGACAACCCCAAATGATCCTCAACCCAGACACTCCTAATTGGACTGGAATATTGAATATATATATGCCGCCCCAGTGGCAGTGACTTGATTCAACTGCCCCACTGTACTCGTATATACAAATAATGCCAGTCCCAGACAGGTCCTGTTTGGGAAATGGATCTCCATGTTCACCCCATCAACTCAGGAGCTGGCGGCCGTTTCTCCCAGCGTTCCTGCGGTGAATCAGATCGAGGTGCATCCGTATTGTCAGCAGAAGGACTTGGTCAGGCAGTTTGGCTGCAGCAAAGAAAATGCGTGAAACTCACACGGCCCGAGTCCACAAGGACATGACCATGAACAAACCGAGAAAATACAGAATCCTCTTTCTTTATTCGTCATTCGTCAGTTCCGTTGTTCGCCGGACTTCTCAGGTATTGTCAAGATTGCGGCATTGGAGTACAAGCATATTCGCCGTTGGCATCGGGCCAGCTTCAGCTGTTGAAAGATCCACTCATTCTGCAGGTGCCTCGGGCGTCCCACGTTTGCTGCTCCAATGGCAGCGCATGGGCACCACCTGCCGATGCTGTTGAATTCAGACTGGAAACAACAGCATCACAAGGTCTTTACAAAACCCCATGAAAACCCTCCAAAGACGGTTTGCGCCATTGTTTGCGCCCTAGTTTGCTCGCCCCAAGATCCGCCTGCCTTCCTTCAGGTGGCCCAAGCTCATGGTCTATCTCCAGCTCAAGTGGTGCTGAAATGGCACGTGCAACGCGGTCTTTGTCCAATCGCCGTTCGACCCGTTCCACGCTCCGCCTCGCGGACAACCTCCGCGCGACCAAAAGGACGGTCGTCGACCTGTCGCCGGGCGAGATGGAGGCCTTCGCCGCGTTGGATCGACGTAGACCCTGCGACGTCACGGGCCTCACGAGCCCGGAGCGGATCGCGTAGGATGAGGTGCTCAAAAAGGTGCTCCAAAGACAGCGGCATTGAAAAGGACAGAGCTCTGTGGGTGGTCATGCAGATTGGTTTTGAGCCGGAAGAAGGTAGATGAACCACCCTTACAAGGGTGTCATGAGTTTGTGTTTGTATATAGTTTCTATAGTAGGCACTTTGGGGGTGGGGGCCCACTCTGTCGCGTTTGGGTTGTTCTGGTGTGGTTGCTGTGCCTTTCATGGAATCTAGATGTTGTGTGTAGGGAAAAGATATGATTTATTGGATGATGTACATATTAGATCATATCAAGAAAACCTGTAGTGCAGAAGGAAGCACACGTCGATTGGTGTTTCAGCCTGTTTCGCCGCCTTCACGGCCAGGTTTGGCTGACAAATGGAAATGGAAAGCTTTGTGACAGCGCTGAACTAGGTGCAGTTTCACCGGGAGAAGTGAGCAGTTTCCTTGCCACTACGGAATACATGTCATGTGGAGTTGCTAACGCCACCGAACATTCATGTCGAAATGGAGAATTGAGTCACAGCAACTCAAATCAGTGTCAAGGTTTGATCGCCACACAAAGGAAGTTCATGGAAACTTGACGAAGTACATGACGTCGAGTCGATCAATGATTGATTTGAAGCTTGTTCTATGCCATGCTCCATCTACAACACTGAACACGCTGTCACAGCGAAGACAGCCGACTGCAGACGCCAAACACGCGAAGACTTAGCGATCCGCGAAGACGATAGCTAAGCCTGCACGAGCGAGAAAAAGCGATTCCATCCGGGCTTAGCTAAGCCGGGCTTGTCAACAGGTGAACTCCTGGTTGGTGGCCCGGGGTTGCATCTGGACCAAACCATGGAGGACAGCGGCTGTCTTCATGTGCGCTGTCGGACAAATGAAACTGCCCGAACAGGAGAGTGTTTCACTGTGAACCGAACATGTTGGCAACCTCCTGATAGGCGTTTCGCCCTTCAAACTGTTTCTGGCCTCATTCTGGCTCAGAAATATCCAAAAAATTATCCCGGCAAGAGACCCCAAACAGTGTGTGTGAGGTCTAGAGGTGTAGCAGAACATGGTTGTTCTATCAAACTGTATTTCTTCGTGTTCCTTTTGCTCGGTCCCTGACCTCGGGCGCCGCAACGGGCCGTTGCCGCCAGGAGTCGCTGTTGGGTGCTGGTCCAGTCTTGCACACGGGCGATTTGGCGCGATGGGCACGGCTCACCCAGATATGACGTTGGTTGGGGGAATTCAACTGACTTGCAATTCAACTGCTTCAACTGATTTTCAACATTGATCTGTGCAAGTTGATATGAGACCATGTTCCTGTCAACCCAGGTTTGAGGAGGGAAAGAAGGGACAAACTGAACGTTCGTCCACACGTGACAGTTGCGACCGTGTTCTAGGAATGTATGTTTCTGAGGGGAAACCTCGTAAAGTTGGGATTGGAAGACCAACTGTTCGAACTTGACAGCTAATAGAAAGCAGTTGCAGGAGACTGTACAGGAGAAGCCATCTTGCATCTCCAGCCCGAAAACGCTTCGCCATCCAGCTCCGGCAGCTCGCGATGCGCAGCTGCCTCCCCAGGTGTCTCTCAACGGCTCGATGGAGTTGATCTGTTTGGGTCGCAAGGATCGACAGGCGGCCCATGCGCGGGCCGCGACGCCCTCCGGGGGTGGGTGGGTTGGGTGGAGAAGCATAAGAAGGAGCGTGATTAAGCGCGTGATGACGCAAGGACACTTGTTAGTTAACTAGTTAAATGTAGGTTCTCATGGTCTCGTAACATGTTTGGACAGAATGTTTTGGAGTGTGGGCTAGTGAGTTAGTGAGCAGTTGACCAGTCATTGGGCCTTCTTTCCTGTCTTATCCTCAATCTTGGATTTTCCAGAAGGTCAACACCCACGCACTTCAACCCGCAGCAAAAGCACTATAGCACCGCAGGTGAAGGTGCGTGGTCACCGGTTGGAGCTGCTTGAAATTGAAGCCGTCATGAAGCAAGAGGCGAGTTCGCTGGGGAAAGCGGGCGGTTCGGCGGCGAATGGGCAGGTCAATTGCTGCGCAAACAATGACAGCCGCTCATGATTTATCAAAGAAAGCATGAGTTGAAACGCTCCAAGTTTTTTCACAGAAGTAGACTCCACATATTTCCGGGAAGTGAGTGTGCGTGATAGGAATTAAGATATCCAGAACCTGGGCATGAAAAGGTATCTACTGTACCAAGCGCATCCAAGCGCTTGATTGTTCCAGAACTGTTCTGGAGAGCGAATGCCCTGGTCCGTTTGGTGTACATGTCATGCATGGTCCTCATTGGATCGCGCATCTCCAGCGGCTCGCACACACGCGCACACAAGGTAGAACCTCGTGAGTTCAGGGACCCCAAACGTCAACTACCTAGCGCTTCCAAGGGGTGCCCAATGGAGACCTGCAAGTAGTGTGGAGATATCCATTGGTGACCCCTTGGAAGCAGCTGGTATAAACTGCTTGTTTCATCAAGGCAGTTTGCTGAAATGACACATTGCACGCGACCTGATGTCCAACTAAGCAGCCTCCAGAACAAACATGTTTATACCCCTCCGTGCTGGAGCTTTCAGAAGACTTCTGTGCTCAGGCAGACCTCACCATTTTGGCACATGTTATGATGGCCCTGGCTACCTCAATATATACGCGCGAATCACACCGCCACTACCAGGTTACATTTGACCATGTTTGACCATTTCACGCCCTTCTGTCGAGCCACAACCAGTCACCGGCCAGGCAGAAAGTCTGAATTTGCAAGTGGAAGCATTGGTGACTCTGGACATCAGGTGCGTGTCTTCTGTGCGATGTGGAACGTTCTGCGTTCTTCCCCGACCAGTTGGGGTGGTTGAAAATGTTGAAAAGGGGTCAATGCACTAAATACCTGGACCCTCCGTTTTCGGGGTGTCCTGGCTGGACTACCCCACACTACCGGCCGTTCGGCTTCCAGACAGGGCACCCCGACAGGAGGGTCCTGGTATCTTAGTCCGTCCCATGGAGTGTCTGGGTTGTCCGGTCCGTCTCTCTCTCTCCTTCGGTCAGCCCGATCCGCTCAGCTGAGCGCAGGCAGAGGTTGAGACCCTGGTCACCTGGGGTGCATGGCCAACGGGGTTTCGAAAGACCAGCTTGTTTGGGGTCCATGATGCATAGATGATAGCCATGTGAATATGCCCTATGAAATCCCAGGCACTATACCCCTCACGTAAAACGTTTTGTGGTACCCCTGATGGGGGGGTCAGGGGAGGATTTTATAGAGGAAACGTGTTGATGTTGAATGATTTTGACACTGTTGTGAAACTGTGATAGTTTTTGCAATCCCATGTTTGTGGTTCAAAGCAGAGAGCCATCAAAGCTGTGATCAGACAAAAGAAGAATATGGAAAAACATGTTTAAAATAAGTCAGAGATATTTCAACATGACGCAAGAAGATGAGGTGCACAGGGAAAAATTGGGAAAGGATTCATGATTGGATATGTCATGATATGCGTGTTTTTTCTAATGTGCAAGTTGTATTCCTGAGGTCAGGCATGGTGAGTTTATAGTGAATTAGGTTTTTGTAGCCATCCTCATGCCTCATGCCTAGTCATTTTATATCATATAGCCTTGAGCTGGTTGCCCTGACCATTTTATAACTATAAAATGGTCTGCAAGGCCCCCTACCCTATATTCTCATAGCTATCATAGATGTGTCAGCTTCAACGTGAGACACTGAGCAATTCCACAGGAAGAAGTTGGTTGCCTATGTACGACCGCCTGAATCCCAGACTCTGCTCGGGTTCTTCAACATACTCTTGGAAGCTGCTCCACAAAGTTCACACCTGAAATGCTTGCCAAGAACTTTGAATTGTCAGGGAATCTGGGACATGTGTTTATGGCAGTTTGTCCTTTTCTGGATGTTGAACCACTTGGCAGCCGTGTTTTATGCTTGATTGCGTCCATTCCACGCCAGCTACGCAGACACTCGCTTGACCGCACACGAGCTTGCGTGCTTCCGCTTCCGTTTGAATCTTCGTCAGGGCCGTGCCGAACCACCCCGAAGAGGGCCAAAGGGGTTGCGTGGCGGGGGCCATGCCGAGGCAAACATTGCCACTGAAGAGTTCCAACGGCCATGGATGGTTACCGCCGCGGGGGGAACCTGTCAGCGGTCTTCTCGAGCGCCTAGGCCCTTGTCAGCCCATCAAGTGGAGATGTTGCTGAAGGGATGTCAGCAGAAGCTACTGGCACATGCCATGCCGGGACCTCAGCTCAAGCTTACCAAGTGCCAACCCGCCAGCTAGCAGCTAGCAGCCCATACCCCTTATGACCGCCCCATCGAGTTCGGGAAGATGCTGAGACGACGGTAAGACGACCCCAGTGAGAGCGTTTCGCTCAAGTTAGCCTGAAGAGACTTGCAGACTTGACTTGCGTCGGATTCTTTTGAAGCTTTTGGGGGGCCCTCTTCCGCCTGCCCTTCGGCCTCGGGGCCTCCGGTCCTGCGGGGTCTCTTTCACAGCCTAACAAAGCCTGGTGCGGCCACCGGTGCACCGTGCCTCTTCCGTCTTCCGTCACTCTCCACCGGTCCGCCGTCTTCGTCGTTTTGGGCTCTTCCGAGGCCCGTGGACGTGGTGGGAGTCGATGAGTGGCCACGCACCTCCAGTGGAAAAGTCGATCGAAAGGCGCTCAGGGCAGCGAGCGAGCGAGCGAAAATCACGAGGGCAGCGGTGGGTGGATGGGTGTGGAATGGGTGGATGTGGAGCAGTTGTGAGAACATCAGCTGCCACAATTGTGGATTGAACAGGGATTGATGATGATTCATGGTTTGAACAGTTGAGAGAGAAGAGAGAGCATTCAGCATTCACTATAAACAGAGTTGACTGTCCTTGGTTCTGTTCTTCAGTCTCAATGAATTTGGAAAGTGGAATGTCTACCGAACAAACTGTTTGACTCGGCCGACTCATCGTTCGCATCTTCCGAAGCGAGTCGACTCGACCTCTCGACCTCTGTCGAGGCCCTGCCAGCACCAGAGACGACCGCTCCAACAGAGGATAGCCCAGCAAAAGCAGCACCAATCGATGTACATGTCTCAGCAGAGGATGGCAGAGGATGGCAGTATCAGCACCTCCACTCCGCCCCCAACTGCTTCATATTGTGATGGATGCCTCAGGTTCTGTCGAATCATGTCGAATCACACTGAAGCACAGTCATTGTCTGTCATGCCCCTGTGTAGGCCACCCAGAGCTCCTGATACTTTGGTTCTTCTTCTTCGCTGCTGGTGCGATCTAAGGCCTCAGTCTATTTGAGACGGTCCCCATTGGCTCCCGACAAAATTCGAGAGAAAGGCCAGCTCAGAGTTTGCAGTGTGTGAGTGTGTTTTTGGGCGGGGCATTCCTTTCTCATCCTTTCTAGTATGCTCTAATCATTCTTGAGTTCTTGAGTTTGCTGATTACTGATTGCTTTCTGATTTATTTTGATTCTGCAACTTGTCTTCTTCCCAATGTTCCCATGCAAGGCACTGTTGATTCGTATGATTCATATGATCATTTCTGGGACCGGTTGCAACTGAGATGAGACGAATCAGGTGCATTCATGTGCCAAATGATTCGTCGTAGCGCAGGTTGGCAGCTACTCCGTGGCCTTTTGCTGGGGCTGGTGACCAGCAGAGGCAGTGCCTGGAGAATGCTGCATCCCCAGCAGTGGCATGCAGTGGCAGGAGCTCATTGAAAGTGCAGAAAGAACTCTGAGATGAAGGTGAATGTAGGTTAAGACCGATCAAAACCTGAAAAAACAACAGTTGGTATATCACTTGGTTGGTGGACGACCATCTCACTTCCACGTCGTGGTCCTGGTTGGGTCTCTTGGCAAGGTTGCTACTCCCTTTGGTTTGGTCAAGTTGGCAGCAGCTTCTCGTCAAGAGCTTGGAGCAGACGCCAAGTCGGCAAGCCGTACGTCGGAAGGTGAAACGAAAAACGGCCAAGTCTAGTGGGGCTATAGATCTCTAAGACACTGTTGGCGGGTTCACCCACCTATAGTCATGTCATTTCTTCTTCACCCACCTATGGCTGCCTCGGGCAGCATGACTTGGCAGTTGCGGCCATCGAGGGCAGCTTGCATGACTTGGCTGAGGTGCCTCGGCACAGAGGGAGCCTTTTTGCACAGGATTTGAGTGGGTGGCCTCCTCAGAAATCAGTGCATAGCCTTTGCTCTTTTTTTTTAAAATCAATTTCCGGTACTGATTGCTGTTTGTTGCCATATAATATAGAATCATTTTGTGAAATCGTCCAAAGGGTTCGGCTTGCCTGCCAACAAAAAAATCTTGGGGCATTTCATGTACCACACGCGTGATGCGAAACCAAATATCCACAGAAGCTAACTGCTCACAGTCTACTGACTGCTAGAATAAGAAGTGTATACAGTACCGAAAACCTACGAAATGTGTTGACAAGACAAGATCAGCTGCATTGGACCCTAGGCGGATGCCTTCAATTTGCACCAATCTTCTCCTGGCTCTTTTGCCCGGGACGCTCACTGGGCTGGGCGGTCAATTGGTGGTTTTTCGGAGAACGAAGATGTCAGTGAACTATGGTGAGCACTCGACCTAGCTGGATCTCAAAAAGATCCACCCAAGTGTTTTCAAACTGCAGGAAGATCACCCCAACATACCCCGACCATGTCGATGGATGATACAGTCGGCCCATGTCGAAGGACTCGTGTTTCCTACGGCCGCACGGCGGACGAAAACGGGGTCGTTTGGACCGAATGCTCCAAACCTCCGGCGAAGGCCCCACACGGTCGAGTCGGCAGACGGACTTATGAATTGGACTGGAACCATCTGGAACCTACTAGCAATGGCCTCTAAGCGCCAAGAGAGATGCCCCTCCAAGGCCTTGGCGCTTCTTCCTGGCCGCCGCCTTCTTCGGCGCGTGGCGCTTGGGCGTGCGCAGCGTGGGACGGTCGCTGATGTGGTGGATGGGTCTCAGCGGACTGGAGCGGCAAGTGCGCCAGGCCGGCGGGGGTGAGAGTGGGAGGTTGGGAGGAGAGTGGGGTGAGAGTGGGGTGTGAAGAGGTTCAATAAAATAAGGCTCTTCTCAAGGCGTTTGCTTATGGTTCGTTGTATGGTGATTGGATAAGATGTTTGTGTATGAACATGAGCGGTTTGCAGTTGGCTAGTGGAGATGTGGACTGAGTTGCAGTGGCCCCCATGAGAAGTACAGCCATTTGTGGTGGAGGACAAATTAAGCTTTAACTTTGGATAGATTGTTTGGTGTAGAATGCAGGTAAAGCCAAGCTCTCTTCTTTCCTCATATGCCACACATGCTGCTTTTGAGCAGTTAGATGGGTTATGCCGTGTTGTGTTTTAACGACCACTACATTCTACTTTGCGTAGGTAGTAGTTGTTTGACAGACAGTCACAACTGAGCGAATCTGCCCGGAATGTTTCTGTGGTGTCAGGACCTGGAGTGGTACAGTGCTTCAGCTTGAAAATGGGAGTGGGAGGGTGCTCCCACCAGTCTAGTCATGTAGACACTGAAAAGAGACGAGGTCTTGGCAGTGTTGGAGGTAGCTGGGGCGTTCTGCATGGCGGACTGCAGAAGCAGATGAGTGCGCATCTTCTGGATCTCAACCAGTGCTTTCCACACGTCATCTCTTTCGAAATCTAATCTTCTTGAGAAGTTCTAGGTTGACACATGTTGACCCCACAGACACGAATCGCTTTGTGCCTACACTTGTGTTGTAAAGATGCCCACACCCAGGTTGGTATTTGCGTCCTGATCGGAGTCTTCAATTGGCCAGGATGGCCTTCACGGGCTGTGACTTGCCATTCCGGTTCGGGCCGATTTCGAGCCGATGTCCAGGGCATGCTGCCTCGGAAGTCTCGAAGATCTACAGATGACCTGTTGATTCCAGAGTTAGGGAGGTAAGATGAAGACCCCAATCCTTTTGTCCCCATAAACAAATCTCATGGGTCGATAAATACTAATATGTTTCATGAACATCACTTTTTCCAGATATGACGTTACATGAGGGCGGAGAGCAAAAAGGGTCGAAACAAAAAGAAAGACATCCACCTTCGACCCCCCTTTGTGGGGTCAAAAAAAGACATACCCACCTTCGACCGCCAAGACAAGGAGTTTTGAAGCGGGCCTTTGTGACCAGAATAAGATTCTTGGTGCCATCCTCCAAGGCAAAGAGTTGCTGCGGCGTCTCTCTGTGGGACGACTTCCGGCGAAGAGGCCCTTGGACTGGGACTGGGATGTGCCACAGAGGCGGCCACGCCGGCGACCACGCTTGGATTATGTTCCTCCGGCTCCGCAATTCATGATGGGTGTGATCCCAAAATAGCAGAGATGCAGTCGAATCCCTCAACTGGAGAATCCTTTCCATTTGTTTGTGGGCATTTGTGTTTTTTCTGGTTTAAATCTTATTTGTGTTTGGTTTGATTTTTAAGAAGTGTATATTGTGTGTATATATATATATATGTATGTTACACCAGGAAGGCAATGTGAACACGCAGATTTTGTCAACAACCCACTGTGTTGCCCTGCTGCAGAGAAGACGTTGCCGTTGCACTTCCAACTTGACCAGTCAGTGAAATTGCACCTGCAGTGGTTTCAGAGTAAATGGCACCCCAACATTACTTTTAGATCGGGGTTTATATAAACCACCAAGCTTGGGGGGTAGCTTGTGCCATCTACTCTCAATCCACAAGCTGAGGTTTGGGTCGACATCGAGACGCAGTTACCTCACCAGGCCCCGAAGGTTCAGGTTCCCTCGCCAGAGCTCTCCTACCGTGAGCTTCGTTTGTTTGAGCGCTTGGAAGAGGAAGCTGGAGTTCCTTGGATTTGCTTGGTTTGACATGGCTTGACATTCTGGAGATTGCCCTTTTTGTGGAATACTTGTTTTAAAGTTTAAACATGTCTTTTAGGCCTGGGGCCTCTCGAGAGTCAACATGAATCAATCGGTTTTCACATATTTGTCGTGTTGTCTTCATTGGCTTCTACAGATCCGTATCCAAGATTCGAAATTGTTCGAATTCGAGGTCCGTTTGGATGCCCGCATGCCCTTGTCGACTGCCTTCGACTCCCTCCGGCTGACGGCGCTGGTGGGTGCCTTGCGAAGAGCCGTAGCGCCAAGACTGACCTTGCGAGAGGCGCTCGCGTGCGACACGGTTTGGGACCTGCTGAAGCTTACCATACGTCGATCGGAGGCTCCAACGGATGCGGAAGACCAAGGTCTAAAGCAAGCACGCGAGGGAGGTATGGAGCCATGCTACTTCAGAGTCAGAGAATGGCCTTACATGTTTGCGATGTCCGTTTGTTGGGCATTGGAAAGCCAGGGACCTTGTGGCCAGAAGGAATGTGCTGCCATCGAAAGAGCCTTGCAAAAGTTGGTCGATCGGCATGGTGCCCTCTCGATGAGGCTAGCAGATCCTCCTGCTACATGGGATTTGGCCATGGAAGCTGCGGCCAATTTGTCCTTGACCCGAGCCATCCTAGGAGACCGCACACGAGAGATCAGGGGGCGTGTGTGCCGAAGAGGACGAGAGATCAGCGGACTTGGCAGAATCATGGACTTCATAGGTTGGCTTTTGTGGACTGCGTGGCCCCGGCTGCAGCACGAAAGACACCTACCTGGAGGCCCTGGAGGAGGGCCTGACCGAGCCACAGAATCCGTACAGCTTGATGTGGTGCATTGTGAGGATTCTGAGCAGCTCGAGGGGCGATCTGCATGGCTTTTGGATGGCCGGAACGGTCGTCAAATTCTTCAAGCCCCCATCCATGCGGTGCTGCTGAAAGACTCCAGCAGATCTCGGCTCCATGTGGCTGTAAGCCATGGACTAGCAGATGGGTTTTCAGGTTTGCCGCTTCTAAAGGACTTCATCCGTTTTTATAAGCAAATCTGTGAAAGCGGAGAGGTTTCAGAAGAGGAGGATGCTTTTGATCGCTTCTCAGGGCTCTCTTCGCAAGAAGCGAGGTTGAAAGGAGCGCTGATGGTTTCAGCAGCAGCTACTGAGGTGGCAGATATTGCAAGCTGGGCCTTGCCGTTCTCATCCTATGAAGCTCAGTCTTTTATGCACTCCATCACTTCAATAAAGGAACACCTGGTATGATCATGCAAAACCAACAAACAAAATCAACTTTTGGGTCAGAAGCTGCTCGTTTTGAGAAATCATTACATGACATTGGTCACTAGGAGGCCTACTTAGCACAAGAAAAGACATAGAGCTTGCAGATGCTCTAGAGCTTCCAGATTCGCACTGAGGAGGGTTTCGATCACTTCATTTGGCTGCAGCAAGCTTCCATGGAAACCCTTCGATCAATCGTTGAACATCGACACTGGTGCTGCTCGTTGGATGTGGCGGTTTTGGCCCTTCTGGGCTGTGCACTTGCTCGTCTTCATCCTCCATCATTGCACTTGCGCTTCGTTGCATCTGCAAGAGATCAAGGAGATGAAGGCAAAAGATGGGTGAGGAAGGCATGATGAGGAAGTGGGCATGGAAGCAAACATGTTGAATGCTACTTATTATGTCTATTTTTGTTCAAATTGCCTATGTTCAAGCAATACTCGATGTTGTGTGCGGGCAACATGTGATAGTGACAGTGTTTTCCCTGTGAGTCTTCAGGCAAACATGTATAATCAAATCATGTCAAACGACATCAAAGGACTAAGTCTACAAAAACGCACGTCTTCGTTTTGTCCCCCCCCCGCTTCTTGGAAACAAACCAAATCACTGCCCAGTATACTGCCCCCCCATGTACCAATCGTCGGTGGCATCTTCTGCCCCACCCGACCCGCCCTACTCCGCCCTACTCCGCCCGTCGTCTTGGCCTGACGGATCGGTCGCCAGGCAGCGTGGCGGACTTCGCCGATGCCCGCGACCTGGACGTGGCCTTCGACGACGCCATCGGCCTCGAGGAGGCCGCGCGATGCCTCGCGGATGGCGTGCGACATCGGCACTGGAGGGTGCCGGATCCCAGGACGGGTCCGTCATGAGTCTGAGTTGTAATGGATCATATATGATCATATCAAGATGCCTTACTAACTGCCATGGTGAATCAGGGTGAAGCATCAATGGGTGCTAACACGAATTATTGGTTGAACAAGGGCTCCAGTTCGACGGCTCACCAACCACAACCATCAAATGACTTAAATTTAGTTTTACTTTAATTCTAATAGCAAACATTGTTACTACTAGTAAGGCACTTGTTACTACTAGCGAGGCACTTGTTACTGCCCAACCGTGAAGGACCAGCAGTGAAGATCGGATTTACATCAACGTGCGCCCACTGCTGGAGGTGAACAGTTCTTCCACCGACGAAAGCGACTGGCACCATGTGACGCAGTGGCCGCCTGTGGAAGGTGAGCGAAACTGGGACCGGCGTAACGTGAATCACGCGTTGTGGATCATGGCTGATCAAGTGTCGTTGCTGGACTCTTGGAAGCGCGCAAGGTAGGAAGGCTTGGACATGAGCTGATAAGGGACAAAATGCTGAAAGGTGAGAATCCTACTTGCTAGTCCACCTTGGCATGTTGGATTTGCAGTAGGATAATGTAGGAGGATATACTTTGTGTTTTCACTTGAAAACCTTACAGTGGCAAAGGGGACAGTGATCAGCATCGCCGAGGAATGGGTCTTTTGCTTGAAGATCCGGGCCAGCCGCAAGGAGGATCGAAGCTTGGGCCGTGTGCTTGAGCAAGTCCTCAAAGACATCGTGCTGAGACCTGATGTTCCATTGCACCGGAAGGAACAGCGACTCGGCCACATGTTGGAAAGCACCTTTTGTCATACTTTGTGCACCATTTGTACACTGGGAAAGCGTGAAGCACACACATGTTGTCATGTCAAGGGCCCACAAGTGCATTGCCCAGGCAGCCTGAATCAGATATGCGAGCTGCAAAAGAGTTGCCTCAATTGTTGAGGAGTGTATTCTTTAGCTTCATTATTGTGTCTGTATGGGCACCTATTTGGAACGGTCGCAATCAACCCCATGTCCCCTTACTCTTCTTAACCACGATTCATTGTCATGGATCTTCTCAAGTCGTCGCATTGTCATTGACGTGTCACCCTGCTCTTATTGCTGTCGAGGTCCAAGATCAACTTTTATAGGCTTTGATTTGTGACTTATTGGTGTCGAGCCAGTCCAGACAAACACGTAAGTGGGCAGACAGAGAGGGAGGATTCATCGCCATTATCCGCCATTAAGCTTCTCATCCTCGACACAAGGTTTGAACATCCTTTGATGGTGATTGTTGAAACCCATATAGTAACTCAATCAAGAACTCATTGTCCTGATAGCTACATACTCAAAAGCCGAAGACTGTCAGTCCAAAGTTGACATGGCAAAAGTTGGTCAGCCCATGGATGAAGATACCGAAGAGAATGAGTCCAGTGAGGACTTGCCGTGAGACGGAGTGATGAAAGTGATCAAAATTCGTGTGCAGAGTACATGTCAAGAAAGTGTGGCCACTTGAATCAGGATCAAATTCATTCTGTTTGAGACTTCGATTATGAAAAACCGCTTGAAGATTCAGTATTCATCAGAAACTGATTCGTTTCCTGGCAAGTGCTGCCTGGGCCTGAACATGAGGACGTCTCATCAATGCTGGCCAATTGTTTCGAAGCACCAACAGTTGCCAGACCCCGTGCTCCTGCTCAGCTTCAAATGGTTCCAGCAGGACCGGGACCGGGGTAGCTTGACGGACCGAGTGATCGAGTGTGTGGCGATGTCTCCCTAAGGATCCACACACCGGCCCTTCCGGTTCGCTACGACTGGGCCCTCCACTCCGACCGCCTGCATCAATAGTCTCCCTCTATCCTGCTCGCTGGCTCACCTCAGGTTTGGTACTTAGGGATGCATGGGGTCTGAACTATTCAACGCCGCCGCCGCACAGCATTGCTCAGCATGAAGATCATTGGGTCCCTGCCGTGCCCAAAAGATCCCGCAGCCGTGCCGGCACGACTGATTCGTACGGTCAGTGATTCGTGTGGTCTCGCAGGACCCTTCTACTCAACTTATCATGGTCATGATGTCCGCATCCCGGCGTGATGTTCGTGCGCAGAAATTCTGGGTACCGGTTGGACTTTTTTCACATGTAGATGGCAACATTCACGAGCCACGGGCTCGAGCTGAGCAGCTGAGAAGACAACTCTCGTGAAAGAATCAGAATGAAGATGAAGGATTCCATGTAGATGTGGTATGATGTGGTATGCTTTGCCAAGACGGAAGCCTTGTGTGTTCCTGGCTGCCTGTTGGTTTGCAGTTTGCGCTTTTCTGCAAGGTTATCTCGAGAGTTTACTGGACGGTTTGTTGCTGATTCACAGAGAAGCACCAGTGACCTTTGGCTGCAAGAAGCACCAGCAACTTCTCACTGTTTGACGCTTGCTTGAAATTGGCAGTAGAGTTGATATAGCTCACTGCAGCACTCGCATTCGCTTCGGCACTTGCATTTGAGGATATTCTTGGCTGGTGATTCATCTTTGGACAACAAAACGTGGCTTTTTAATCAGGCGAGAAGAGTCAAGAACTCTGATGTTCGACGAGATGTTTCGATGTTTGTTTTTCAGAATTGATTTACACATGATGGATAGAAACGCTTCGCTGTTGCTTTCCTCAAAGGATGAGGTCATCCTTCTCCAATTCATTCAACGCTTGCGAAACACTGTCGGGTTTCTTTTGCAAAAGACCCCCAAACCGCGCCGAAATGGAGCAGGCTCACTAGACAACCCTAAGGAAACTTCTTCAAGTGGTGAAGCCCTCCTGCCTCACATGGAGCGTTCGCGACCTGCGCTAGCAGTGTTGGGTGATCGATCCTGTAGAGATAGGACCAATGATGAAAAGGCCGAGTCCAGCATTGAATTGAAGCAGTCAACTCGTGTAGAGATAGACCTGAGTCTCACCAGACCAAGTGGTGATTGATGAAGCAGTTTGGATTATTCCCCACTGGCTCTAACAGTGTCGGGAAAACGGTGACAGGACCAATGAGTGGACCAATGATGCAAAGACCAAGCAGTTTTCGTGCTGTCAGGGTGCACCAGCAGACCATTGGCGACCATCCTCAGCGCATGCTCCAGCAGTGAATGGCTATGAGCGTTTGCTACAACCACCCAGGCGATGGATTTGTCTTGTTGAAATTAAGTAAACAGATGTAAACAGTTAACTACCAGGGTCCCTAAGTTAACCTTTAGAGGCTTAAGTGAGTGGCCTCAATCTGGGATCTCAAGGGTCACTTTCGCGCTGCCATCCGGGGATTGAGTGCCTGTTACTGGGCTAAACCAATGACAAGTCAACATTTGTATCACTCCAAGCCCAAAAAGAAATGTCTTCTCATTTTACGGAAATCCTCTTGAGATGCAGATGCAGAAGCACATACCGTCCTTCGTGAAGAAACATCTGTTCTTCGCTGATGAGGATGGTTTGCGATGTGACCTACTGGATGAATCAGATTCTCTATGATTTGAAAGCGAACGCCATTGCTTTGAACACGGCCATTGAAGCCACGAGCCTGGGTCCGGTCCGGCCGATGCAAAACCCGCAGAGATGGACGAACAAAGCGATTAGAGTGTATTTAAGACCCCGTCCGATCCACCCCTGGCTTGATTGGCATTCACAGGCCAGACCATCACAGACTAGTAGCAAGAAGCTAGTAGGTTGGAGGCCATTACTACTAGGAGCAAGAAGCTACGTACTAGTAGGTCGTCTTTGAGTCAGACAACAGTTGAGCGCGCTTTGTTCGATTCTCGTCGGCACTGAGGACCTTGGCAAGTCGAGTGGGTGGAGTGCAGTGCTGTGTGGTGCCATCCTGCTGTGGGCTGTATGAACAAGAGGTACTGAGAGAGGGAAGAACGGCGCAAGCTGGTTTATAGTATGTTTATGTTTAAGGAATTGCCAGGCATTCAGATGTTGATTCATCAATTTCACGTGTTCAAATACTCGAAAGGAACAATGCAGCAGCAACATGCAGCAAAATTGGCATTGAATCACAATCGCAATTGAAGTCATGATCTTTGTGAATCTTCGCCCCCCTCAGCTTTGCATTCCACCTATATTCCGGATGCTCGATAGGACTGGCAAAAAGTGAACGAGATTGTTAACGAGTATGGTACCCAATGCACTCCATGGGACTGGCATCTTCGGTGTGTATTTGGGTCGAAGCGCGGCGCCCGGAGGAATTGATCCGCGATCGGATTCGACCCTGCGACATGCTGGTGATCTCCATCGGCGGCAACGACATCGCGCTGGCGCCGTCGATCTTCACGGTCATTGCCATGGTACTTCTGATCCTCGAACGCGTGTGAAAAGGTAGCAACAAGGAAACACGACACTCTGAAAAGGGAAGTGTGTTGAGGGCCAACGCTGGCCAAAATAGGGAATGCAATCTTTGAGCCATAGCTACATGGATCGTTTCTTGAACTCTGTGAAAAAACATGTAGCAACATGAGGATGCTGACGCCCTGGCCGCTGCTTTTCTGCTTCCACCCTGCAGTGGCCTATTTTATTGGCCTGTTTCGATACCAGGCCGCCGTTTGGGAAGGGGTGTCAATCATGACATTCTGTAGAACCCACCTAACCCGCAAGCTCATAAGCTGCAGGTTCAGTGCTATGCGGAGAGGTTGACAGCAGTGACCCGACCCCGCAAGATTGGTGTGTGCATGATCTACAATTTGGACGAACGAAATGGTGAGCACTTGGGCTGCGATCAGTCGCTCTTGCTGCGATCGGTCAATCCGCCGTTGAGTGTGGCTTGCCAAGGTCCTGGGCGAACATGGCATTGTGCATCCTTTGCTACACGTGCTTTCCGTACCATGTCGAAAGATGTCGAAAATCTGTGGAAATGTTGAATTCAAGGGTCCTGTGGAGATGTATTTGGACTTCCCAAGATTGAATGACTTTCTTGATATTGATTACCAAGGGGGATGTTGCAGCGCCGGATGAGGTGTGTTGATGCGTTGGCACTTGTTGGCTCATGGCGCAAAGCGCAGCTTTTGTATGCTTTTGTATTTGATCTGTCGGACAGGCTGGTCTTTGAGTTGGCCACCTCCAGGATCAAGGTCGGTTTTTTAGCAGACTTGTCAGAAACATTCAGAAACTATATGAAACCGTCAAAGGTGATAAGATTCCAAGGACACAATTCAGTTGGAAAATTAAAAGATAACTATATATATATATAATAAGATTATATAAGAAGGTCGAAGCTTTGAGAACTCTTTTGTAGCGCTCCGCGCGCGACCTTTCCGGACAGGTGCCTGGCAGTGAACTCGTTCCCATCTCTCTGGCAGATGCGCTGGATGGGCGTTGCACGGAGGACGCCAAGACGATGCGGGTGGACCACGCACAGACCGCGAAAACCCGCCGCTCCAGGACTATCACCAACGAGTGGAACCCAGTGTCATTGGCGGGCAGAAGATGGCCCGGTCGTTCACTCAGGAGACGTAGATGGCTGTTCATGTCGTGCTTCAGAGGCTCAGGAGGCTGATATTGGTTGAAATGAAGACCACCTTTCATCCCTTGATGATCAGGTTAATCTTATCCAAATTGGGATGGCGTTGCGAAACCCAACATTATAGATATGAGAAACCATGAATTAAGATCAAAAATATATAATAAATAATGTCAAGTTAGGATTAATAAATCCCCCCTAGTTAATCCGAGCCCACAAAGCCGCCGGAAATTGCCCAATTTAAAAGTATTATTGGCTGTTGATTTCCCCCCCTATGGTCTAGTTTTCTACCAACAATCCCCCCCAGTTAATCCGAGCCCACAACCAGGTCAATTTTTCGTACTACTACTACTACTACTACTACTACTTCAACTACTACTACAACTACTACTACTACTACTACTCCTACTGCTACTGCTACTACTACTACTACTCCTCCTGCTGCTGCTGCTACTGCTGCTACTGCTACTGCTACTGCTACTGCTTCTGCTTCTGCTTCTGCTTCTGCTACTGCTACTGCTACTGCTACTGCTACTGCTACTGCTACTGCT